GGCCCCAGCGTTCCTCTAAGAAACAAAACCTGGTGGTTTTTTCTCTTGCTGAGGGTATAAGGAAAATAAGAGACAAGAGGTAAAATTAGTGCAAACTTTCCTTCACACCAGTTCATTTATTATCTTCTAGTTCTTGCTTCAGTTCATGCTTGCACTGGGTGTACAGACAGCATGTTCACAAGTAAGTAAATTCTAGTGTTCTTGCAACAAAAACAAACAAAAACATTAACCCTTGGACTAACCGTACTCTTCCCAAAAGGCACCAGCTTGATCATATCAAACTCTTATTTAAATGTTGCTAGTCCTAATTCAGAGGGAAGTCAAAAAGAAGGCTCTCTCTGCCCTCTGGTGGGCAGTTAATGATGGAAGGTGGATGGTACCATAAACACAGAATCAGGAGCTGGTAAAGTGCAGAAGCCTTTAATGAGGAGAGGGGAGGAGAAAGTTAGCTACGGCAAATCTGGAATGTGTTGAATGTAATATCATTGGGGCAAATGGTATTATCATCATAATGCTTGCTATAGTAATATAAAGGTTGCTATAGATTGAGATAATATTAACTGAACTAGATCCCCAGTGGTGTTATTCTGTACTGCTGTGAGGGGGAAGTCACATTGTGAAGGACTTTGTGCAAACACACGAGGCAATACATGTCGCGGAGTTTATGCTTGAGGCAGGTACGGAGTTTACTTGTGGCTTGAGCTGTAACACGTTTGTGAGTATTCTAAGTGTATGTCTATGCTACCCCTAACAGCACTAGATTAAAAGCCAATTTAAGGCCTGAACAACAAGGGCTCTAGTTCACATGGGACCCCTGCTAAGCTAAATTAGCAGTGTGAGTCATCCAGTGTGCATGTAAGAATGCTGCTGCAGCCTTCAGCTGCTGGCTGAGGCCCTCACAAGAGGTAAGGCTACAGAGCAAAGCACTTTACTTAGAAGACGCCAGTGATGGCATCACTGTTACAGCCTTCATTAGGCAGCTTGAGACATTTACGATGATATGATCTAACTGGATCATCAAACACTGTACCTGCCCCACTGCACAGAATGGCTTGTGCTAGCTGGACCAGTAGTTATGCAACACCTCTTTCCTCTGCATCATTCACTATGCGGATTCTCCTTCACTCCTCATCAAACCTCTATGCAGGGCAAAACAACATTAGGTTCCTAATTCAGGGTGCTCCTGAATGCTGCCACCACTATATCATAGTGCTTCACAGGCAGAAATGAATTTATTTTTGCAATGTGTATGTAAGTTTGTGGGAAAGTGAAATCATTGCCTGCAGTTTACAGGTAAGGGTGAACTGAGGTACAGAATATAACATCAAATGTTCTCACTGTTTGTGGGTACCATTTTGAGACATGCAGGGTTTGTTTTGTCAGAGTAGTTGGCATTGTGCTGTATTTCCTAAGGTCAGTGATGTACTCTGGACTTCAGTCCATGCAGCCTGGTGGAACATTGGTCAAAGAATAGGAAAGACCAGAGAATGCTTGTCATGGGCACCTAGAAAATGAGTATGCAATTAATGATCACTCATGCCAAGCCTGTCCTAAGGGACTGAGCCAGCACCACCAGTGGATGATGTGCTATGGTAGGGATAGAACCCAGTTCCCCATGCTCCCATTGCATTAATTGTCAAACCATTCTTGCCACTCTGATACCCATCTTCTACCTGCTGTGACAAATGAAGTCCTGTGAACAACAGCCTCATTTTCTGTACATTTCTAAATCACACTCAGCACAGATCCTCCCAGTGCACTGTCAATCCTGGTGAACAAATCACAGGCATTCTTTTTATAAAAAATTGTATCAGATTGCACAAAATCCTTCCTATAGTGTATATAATATATAAATTGCCCCAGTCAAGCAACTAACTGGCTTTGTATGGAGTACTTGTGTGCAGTATCACCTGTATTATACAGAAGCTTAGACTGATATTTTCTCCTAGTCTTGAAATCTACAGTATTTCCTAGCCACGCCAGTAATCTTTCTTTAAATATACTTCAGAAGAAACGTCATATTCTCATTTTTTTGAAAAGTGTTTTTTTCCCCTGAGTTTCACAGCTTTTCACTGACTGTGAGATATTTAAATTTACAACCCAGAACTTCTCTACTTGAACTACTACAGTAAATGAAACAGTCACAGGATGTATAACATGAATAACATCCCGTTATTGTTTCATGTCCTCTGTTAGTGGTTTTTTGTACTCTTCAGTTCTTTTTCCTGTTCCTTCTTCTTCACTACATCCTATTCCCTCCATTTTGTGCCTATCTTGTGCCATCTGGTGTCCCAAATCCACCAGTAATGGAAACAATGAAAGGACCAGAGTGTGTATGAGTAGTCAAGGCACTGACTACTTACACATTAAGATGTAGTACAATACAGTGCTATGAGGTATTAATCTCCTGAATCAGAGGGTCAGGGCAAACCGTGCCACTAGCATGACTTGTCTTCAAGCACTCCTTATGCACTTACAAACAACTGAGAATACTTAGACAAGCGTTGGAGCACCTTCACGCTAGGTGGGGCTGATCTGTCCTCATTTAATAAATACTATCAGCTCCTGCCACCCACTCCTTGGCTTACCTGCAGTCAGGTGCTGGTCCCTTTCAGCCTTCACAGGGAAATATGCCTTGAGCCGAAATTAGTGGGAGTTGTATGAAATGATGTCTTTGTTCTGGCCTTGCTCATTAATTTAGGAAGTACCTTTTATGCGTAGCTGTGGGTTAGTGCATAAAGACATTGACTATAATTGACAAACTGATGATCAGGTTTGGTAGGGAGGCTGTAGGCTGACACCTAACACAAGGCACACTTGGAGCATTCTGTTGCCCTTAAGTCACACTGTATAATGTAGAGCTATCGGGAATTCCCCCGTTTGCCTGTCAGCAGTGGCAGGTGTGCAGGAGCATGCAGAAACTACAGTCTGCCAGTGATGCAGCCTTGGTGTCTCGGACGAGTGAGTGGGGAACTGCCAGAGCTCGAACTCCTGTCCTGCTACTGTGAGCTGGTGCATTCAAGCTGTGACAAAAAGATTGTTGGTGATGTAAACGAATGAAAGCATGACTGAATTAGATGAACCTGTCCCAGGGGAACAGACATGCTACTCCTCTGGGCCCCTTTTGATTTACAGAACTGCTTGGTATGGTATCAGGTGTGCCGGTGCACCTGCAGCACTCCAAATATCAAACACAAGCGTTACCGCTTGCATGTGTACTGGCTGTAGGGCTACAGGTTTCCTCCTGGGACTTCTGTCTTTCTGTGTGAACTGTTGTTGTGGTTTAATCCCAGCCAGCAACTAAGCACCACGCAGCCGCTCACTCACCACCCCAACACCCAGTGGGATGGGGGAGAAAATCAAGAAAAAAAGTAAAACTCATGGGTTGAGATAAGAACGGTTTAACAGAACAGAAAAGAAGAAACTAATAATGGTAACGATAACGCTAATAAAATTACAATAGTAATAATAAAAGGATTGGAATGTACAAATGATGCACAGTGCAATTGCTCACCACCCGCCAATCGACACCCAGTTAGTCCCCGGAGTGGCAATCCCCCTGCTCCCACTCCCCCAGTTTATATACGAGATGGGACATCACACGGTATGGAATACCCTGTTGGCCACTTTGGGTCAGCTGCCCTGGCTGTGTCCCATTCCAACTTCTTGTGCCCGTCCAGCTTTCTCACTGGCTGGGGATCAGAAGCTGAAAAATCCTTGGCTTTAGACTAAACATTACCTTGCAACAACTGAAAACATCAGTGTTATCAACATTCTTCTCATACTGAACTCAAAACATAGCACTGTACCAGCTACTAGTAAGACAGTTAACTCTATCCCAGCTGAAATCAGGGCAACTGTTCACTGTAGGACCGGTCACTGAAGATCAGCTGCTCCCCAGGTAACAAATGTTGAACTTCATTTATGGGGAGCACTGTGAGTTGGAGTCTCGGGGTGAACTCTGCACTGAGAATTATTTTGAACTTTGCAAAATAATTCAGTGAGAATTTCTGGGTAAGTGAGGAAATCGTCATTTTCAAGTATTTCACGGATAAAAAAAGAGGTGTATAACACCCTGGTTGCAAAGTTCACACCAGTTTATGACTGAGGCTTATGAAAAACATATTTCCGGTGTTAGAACAGGAGTGAATGTACATGTGACCCCCCAGACAAGGCTGAGGCAGGGCTCTGCCTCCTGCGTGTGCAGCAGGCATTGGCTGTGGCTGGGGCCAGGGGCTGGCAGGCCTGCCTGCGCCGTTCCTGCCCTGCACCTGGCAAATTGGCCGTAGGCTGGAAAGAGGAACAGGCCACAGCCAAGTCCAAGGTCCAGGCAGACGAGCGACTCCCTCACCATGCCTCAGCTCTGTTTGCGTGGCATCTCAGTAGCGTGCTGCCCGGCCTCGCAGGCCTGACTGAGTTGTACACTGCCCTCGGCCCTGCTGCAGCAAAGGGTCTGCATGCCACAGAGTAACTACCTACACTAAAGAAATCGTGGGATCGTTCGGGGAGCCTCCCAGGACAGTGGGATGGGGTGTGCTGCCTGGTCAGTGCCCGCAGTGGCTCCATGCCCACATCTGGTACTGGGAACCAGGGCCTGTCCTGGCACTGCCCTCAGACCCGCCCTGCTCCTGTGTGGCTCCAAGGCCTGTCCTGGCACCGGTGGTGGCGAGCGGCAGGGCCGCTCCAGGTAGCAGTGGGCACCAGAGCCTGCCCTGGGGTGGCTCTGGGGCTCGCTCTGGTCACAGGGGCAGAGGCCTCTGGAGCCCCTGTGGTACTGCAGGGGGTGAAGGGGGGCAGCCTCTAGGGACGGGACAGCCCAGGCACCAGGGGGCTCCGGGGACCTCTCTGGCCGCGGGGGAGGCGGACCGGGGGCGGCCGGGGAGGCAGGGCTCGGCCGGGGAGGGCCCCCCTCATGCTCACAGCGGCCGGGCCCCAGCGCGCCCCGCCCCACGCAAGCGGCGGCGCCACCTGTACTTAAAGCGCGCTCGGGGCCGCCGCTGCCTCCTCCTCCGCCGGCTGCCACGGCCCTGCCAGTATGTCGGACAGGCTGCCGTACAAAGTGGGTGAGTGCGAGCCCCGGGCCTAACCTAGCCCGCTCCCCGCGGGGCTCTGACGGCTCCCCTGCGGCCGGGGCAAGGCGGGCCGCGGCCGTGCCGGGGAGCCCCGCGGAGCGCAGCGCGGGCTCCGCGGCCCCGTTGCCGCGGCTGGATGCGGCGGCGGAGGGAAGATGGCAGCTGCCTGTTCGCCGTGCCGCCGCGGGGGGCGGGGAGCGCGGGCAGCAGGGCAGGCAGGGAATCCAAGCCTGAAGCCCCCCTCCAGGCTGTGGGGCAGGGCTGCGTTTGCACCCGTGCTGCTGATACACCCGTGGAGAAAGAAGGGGGCCTCCGGGGGGGGCTGCACTGGCTCTCTGGAGCGGCTGTCTCTTGCCGCAGCGCGGCACCCGCGGGGTTTCCACCCGCGATTTCGCTGCTTTCCTGCGCCGGAGCCCGCGGCGCCGGCGACCCCGGCTGACCTGTCTGTAGACCTTCTCCTGTTCTGACTGCCCACCAGAAGCCCTGCGCTGGGGACAGGCTTTCACTCCGAATGTGAAAGTTATCTTTAAATCTGGGACCCGTGTTACATGTTTCTCTGAAGGTTTTGTAGACCTGAAACTCCACAAGACCCCTAATTTTTCTAAAGAGTTGTGTGTTCTTCGAAGGCTAAATTCAAAGAGAAGAACATTCATCTGTAAGGCTCAGATTCATAAATAATTTGTCTTGGAGGCTACAAACCTAAAATACTACCAGATTTTTTTTTTTTAAGCAGCCCTTGTAAGACTACTGAGCCCTTCAGAGGGGTAAGATTCTAGATCTCCCCCTCTTAATATAGTTGTTTCCATGGTCCTTCCATTGCCTGGGCTTTTTTAAGTCCCCTGTTTGTGTAAAGGCTGTGCACCAGGTAGCTAAAGTGTAGGCAATAGCTTCAGTGGCCCCTGGGCTTCATTCTGGAGCAAAATGCAATTAGCTCGTCTTTATTAAATGCAGCAGTCTGACTCAGAGGTCCTCATGCTCCCGAGTGCTTTCAATGGCCTGTATTTGCTAGGTAGGTGAAAGAAAAGTGTCTGACCATGTTCTTAAGTGACATGGTAAGCTTCTGAAAGAGCTAACCAAGTCAGAGGGACGCTTGATCCTGGCTGATGCCACAAAGTGGGGCACCTAGGCATTAGCTGTTTGACCCTTGCCTTTTTAAGGCTGGAGTCAGACATCCGTGGTGAGCACAGTATTTTTTTTTACTGTGAGCTAGGCTGTCAGAAGTCTGTTTTGTTCAGTTTTTGCTGAACTTTACTACTATAGATCCTTTTTACAAAGGCAGAAGTTGACTTGTAACTAAGGTAGTTATGGTGCCTTGAAAATAATCTTTGTGGATCCACGGGCGTAGGAACCCTGCAGCTTAGCTCTTAAGAGGGGAGCTGGGCTCAGCTCCTGGTGTGCTTGGCAGGAAGCATGCTATGTGTGTTCTCCTGTGGGGAAGCTATTGCCGTACAGGCAGCCCCCCCAGCCCTGAAAGTCTTAATACCGTGGAAATAAATCTCTGTAGCAAGTGTCAGACCCTTGGGCAGTATATGTAAGGAGGAATGCTTAAGTCTGGGGCTTACTGAATTAATGGACCTCAGGATATCTGCACACTAGGTCACAGTTGATTAATGTGTTCATACAGGAGCATGCTTTTTTCAGAGGGGCTGTTAGGTTTGGTCTAAACTTGTTTGAAAGCCTGTGTACCATAGTAAAAAAGCAGGGAGTAACTGGAATATGGTCTGTTTTTCCCCCAACTCTGTCTCCTAGCTGTTGCTGGGTGTTCAGTTCAGCTGTTGCAACCAATGCCTATCCACAAGTGTGTGAACAGATACCAAGGTTTTGGCTATTTAAACTCTGACACCTGTCCTCCTTTTCTTGCAGCTGACATCAGCCTTGCAGACTGGGGTCGCAAGGCCATTGAGATTGCTGAGAATGAGATGCCAGGGCTGATGAAGATGCGGGAGATGTATGCTGCATCAAAGCCACTGAAAGGTGCACGTATCGCTGGTTGCCTTCATATGACAGTGCAGACAGCAGTTCTCATAGAGACCCTTATAGAGCTGGGAGCTGAGGTAAAGTGTCTCTTGAGTTTCTTCTTCAGTGTGCTCTTAGGTAATGCTCTGCCTGGGGCACTGCTTCTGCTTATGTAATTACCTTAGGGGATCCTGGCAAATATCTGTACTTTTTGGAAGAGACCATGCTGCAATCTCCAGGTTGGATGGATTATATCTCCTCTCCTTAAGCAAAAAGCTTGTCACCTGTACTGCGTGCACCTCTGAGATGTGGTATGTGTCTTCCCTCTGGACAAGCTGCATCTTCATTAGTGCCCGTTTTGGGCTGGATTGCTAGCTTCAGCAGCTCAACTGTGTGTATGTACAGCACCCTGAGCAGCAGTGCCGAAAGCTGCTCCCACGCAATTGTGTTGTGCTTGGGCATGCAGTGCTGTTGCTGGTAATGCTGAAGCTCTAGTGACTGCCTCCAGCGAAGATTAACCTGTGTTAAGAACCACACTGTGCCCTGGGTAAAGTCAGCAAAAACTAATGAAGCTTTCTGAGAGCTCATGCTGGCCCTTGAGCTGTGCAGGAAAACAACAGGGAGGCAGTGTGGTTCAGTGATTGAGGGCTGGGAACTCCACTGACTTTGAATTTGTTGTGTGATTATGGACCACTTACCCAGGTCCATGTTAAAGACGGAGATACTTATAAGCCATTTACTGCATTGTGTCCTCTGCCTGGCTTGCTGACTGAAGCCCAAACATCCAGCTGAGTGTTTGCTGTACAGGGCAAGAGGAGAGCCAGGCATCTGAGCATAATCCACATAGCTTGCATGCTGAGTGGGGAGCTGACTGGAGCTTGATGATGGATTATGTTAAGTACATATGTGATCTGAAATTCTTTCTTCCTGAAGTTTAACTGCCTGAACTCAGGCTGCCCAGTGGTGCCCTGTATGGGATTCTTCCCTGGGAATGGTTAAAAGAGTTGAGCTGTGTCATGCTGATTGAAAGGTACTGGGAGAAGTGCTCTCTCTGTAGCAGCTAAGGTATTTCCTCAAAGAGTGGAGGGGGTAGGTCTAGACAGCATGGCAGGTCAGCCTGGCCAAGGCACATGCAGGTGTTCTTCAGCCTGTTCAGAGCTGCTCCATGGTTGCAAGTGGTGCAGTGCTGAAGGAGAGCTTTGATGTGGAGGTACAGTCCTGGCTTTATTCCAGCTACTCTGTATATGAAGCTTTTGTCCTTCTAGAGGATTTAAAAGAAAGCAGTAGCCACTGAAATTTGGGAAGCTCCTTGCTGCTCCTGTTGATTACTGTATCTCAGTATGGCTGGCCTACGCAGCAGCTGCGTGCTTGCTTAAACATTGCCAAACTGCTTTAGTCTGTGCACAACCCCAAATCAGTGTTGTATGAGATTCATCCAAGTCATTCAGGGAGGTATCTGCAGAGATTTGGTTCCTGTAAGCATAAGTTATGGTTGTGCCTTTAAGATGTGTGCTGTCATGTTAGCTCCTTCCTTGTCCTGATGCCTGCATGTTAGTTTAGACTTGGACTTGAGTTTGGATTCAGCCCTGGTTCATCTGTTCTGCCAGAACTTTGGTGCCTGGGAGGGAGGAGTGAAACTGATGAAACCATACACTACATGAGGATATAGCTCACTGCAGCATAGTAATCTTGGTATCCCTTTTTTGGCTAGGTTAGCGAAGGTAGATTAAATACTGTGTGCATCAGAGTGTAAGTTCTAAAATTGTAATAAAAACGCATTCTCTTCATAACCAGTGATGTAAATATTAGGCTCTGAGCCTATCAGGTATGCCAGTTATTCTAGAGTCTGTGCCATTATCAGAAACTGGTATTACAGATCTGATGGTGCAGAGTTGAAGTAGCCTATCTCTTGTATCAAGTGCTTGAAGTGTAAACAATATATGGGTATTCTGTATACTTTGAATTCCATGACACCTTTTGATGTCATTTGTACTGATATGGAGGGAGCTTAGAAAAACCCAGATGCAGTGCTTAAGGTCATGAATTCAGTTTTTCTGTGCTCCTTCCAGGTGTGTTTTCACTGACAAGTGCTGGTTGTGTAGGCTCAGATGAGGTGCATCCTACTGCAGCCCTTACTTAGAAGTGTTAATTCTTGATGAAATGGGATGAGTATCTGAAAACAGGCTGAAGGATTATGCCTTATTGCCCTCTCTCCTCAAGGTCTGTTACAAATAAGCGTGCAAATACCTGCCAGTCAGCCCTGTAGGGAGCAGAGTGAGAACTTGAGTGGTTCTGGGATGTGGTGGTTTCTATGTCTGCTGGGGAGCTGCAGTAAGTATGCTGATACTTTTCAGTGCAACTCAGCAACATGCTGTTGCTTTTCTAGGTGCCTGAGCCTAGTTATGAAATCTGTGTGGGAAATGCTTAGCTCAGCTGGAAAAGCTTCCATGACTGGAGCACAGAGTGGGAGTTTGGGTGAGCGTAATCTTGGAGAATGCCTGTTGATTGAATGTAGTGTTTCAGCTGCATTTCTGTTCTGAGTGCCAGCAGGTGTGTTGCTGCATGTCCATATCCCTCAGTGGACACTTGCTATGTGGCTGTTCTGAACTTTATTGACCAAAATGTTCTATACCCACCCTACTGTGCACTTCCTGAAGATCTATAGCTGAATGTACACTCTGGCTGTCTGGCAGAAGCTCTCACGAGTAAGGAGATGGCTCCATTATGTTCTTTCCCAAAGTGACGTTATTTTCCCTAGCTTAGATACTTAGTTTTCACCTTAACTTTGCAGAGCTACTGAGAAAAGCAGGAATCTGCACTAATAGGCCTTTCTGCTCTTGCTCCCTTTTTAACTCCTGTGGCTGGAAGGGAGTGCCTGATATCTCAGAACTTTGTTCAGCAAACAAAACTTGGGTTGTTTTCCAGGTACAATGGTCAAGCTGCAATATTTTCTCCACTCAGGACCACGCTGCAGCTGCTATTGCAAAAGCTGGTATCCCTGGTAAGTTTTCCATGTCCTAATTTGGCTCTGAGTTGGGGTGTACTGCCTATTCTAGCTAAATCAAACTGTCTACAAATCAAGCTCTTCTGAACAAGCTTCAGGATAGAAATAGCCCATCAAAAGCAATGATTGTTACAAACAGGACATTTGATTCAAGCTGCATTGCATCAGACTATGTGTAGTATTCCTGACAGTGGCTGGTGTTAGGCTATGAAAGAGCCTGGCTGTATGTTACCAGCTTTAAGCCTGGTCATTAAGATGATTGAATGGGCTGGGTGATTAAATGGATTGGTGTGTAGGTGTGTGTAGAGGGAGGTGTTTGGTGCTTTCCACCAAGCTTGGTGCTAAATAGGGGTCAGTGAAGGAGTAACTGCAGTGTGCCCTGTTACAGTGGCAGGGTCAATACTCAACATATTTTTAAGCTAGAGCTAGGCCAGCTGTGGTGCTGCCCTAATATTGCTGAAGCAGTTTATCAGTATGCTGCTGTTTTGTTCCTGTCACCTTCCATTAAAGAGCAATTCCTTGTGGATCAGTATGAATAGATTCAGCTGTCTGCTGTTACGCAGCTTAAGGACATAGTCCTCATGGCTGTGTGCTGGGAACTGCCTGGCCTGAGTCTGGATGTTGGCAGAGGCTAAATCTGATTTCTGGCAGTCTGCTGCTTTGCATTGAGAGGTTCTTTAATTTCTGTTATAATTAGCTATTGCCACAAGTCTTCCCCCAGCTGTGGTCCATTCTAAGGTAACAGAAGAAAGTGGTCCCTTCATCAGCTCCTTTGGCATTACTAGCTGCAGGCATCACCTCTTCTGCCTGTCTCTGGCATGGGATGTCAAAGGACCAGGTGGGGCTCTGTAGATTTGATGTTAGGATATTGCTTTCCTCACTGCTGTCAACACCCAAAACTCAGCTGAAGAGCAGTTTACAGGTGGAGTGTTTGTCTATGTTTTTGACCTTTGCCCTTGGTATCCTTGTTTTGTGGAACTTGCTCTTTTTGTTACTATTGCACTTCACATGCTGAATTTGAGACCTTGGAGGAATGCTGATCCTTTGGATACAATATGAGATACTGATGTACATTTTTTCAGAAGGTGCAGTTGCATGATTGGCTCTTTTAGCTTAAGGTTAGTTTTCTGTGTAAACAGTGAACACACAACAATTTTGCTAAACGTTGGGATATGTAAATCATGTGTCTAATATATGTTTGAATGGCTGAGTACCACTGAGGCTCAAGTATAGCATGAAGACAGTACAAATGCCTGGAAAGGCAAAATACTGCTAGATACAACATTCTAGTGGTTGCAGCCTGGTGTTGTCGGTAGATTTACTGATAGAGAAATGTGCCCTCATAAGAGCAGGCAAGGCATGGCAACTTGGATTTTAGTGCTGTGCTAGAGATTAGAATTTAAACTCAAAGTTGCTGAAGAGTTTGTAGTCTGGTGCTTAGCTCATGCTAAAGTCTAGTCCCTCTTTTCTGCTGTGCTAGAAAATGCTGTAGTTGTGTTTTCATTTGTCTGTATCAATATATCCAGTGGCTTTTTCTAATTCCTGGTAACGCAGGATGTATTAGAGGAGCAAGTGGGGTGTTGTGGATGTGAGTCTGCTTTAGTTTGCTTTCCCTTCTCCCTCGTAATATGGAAGAAGAATGAGAGCAGTGAAGTCTCAAAATTTTGACCAAGTTTGTGGCCTGGGACAGAAGGCAAAGTGATTTCACTTCTGCTCATTCTGAGATCTTTTTTTTCAATGCAAATGTGTTTTCTGGCCTGCAGGCACAGATAATCATCTGTCTGTTGGCTGTGCTACTGAGAGCTGCTGATGAAATCTTCCTTTGGCTGCTTTACTACATGCTGAGTAAGGAACTGGCTAACTGTGTGTGTTTGTTCCCATGTAGTGTTTGCCTGGAAAGGGGAGACCGACGAGGAATATTTGTGGTGCATTGAGCAGACCCTGTACTTCAAGGACGGGCAGCCCCTCAACATGATTTTGGATGATGGTGGAGATCTTACCAACCTAGTTCATACCAAATACCCACAGCTGTTGAAAGGTGACTTGTATTTTGTTTTGTCAGGTACAGTTCTACTTGGGAAGCTGTTTAGGCAGTCTTGTTTCTGTGGGAATTCCCTGCTTGTGTAAAAGGGGGAGGAGAGACAGGCATGTGCAAACAGGCTATGAATGAGTCTATGAAAATTGCTTACAGTCCAAGACCAGAATTTCTTACCTGCAGGAGCTGTTTCCATCTCTGCTCTGTAATATATAAGTTAGTGACCTGTCCTTCTGGCCATCCTTCACAGTGCCCATTACCTGAGAATGACCAGTGGTACTGCTGACTTTCCAAAAGCTTCCTGGAAATGGGCTGTGTTTTAGAATTGCTTAATGTCTGCTTGCAGTTAATATTTTTACAGTAGTGCTTTTTCTTCCCCATCTTCTTAGTGCACCTCTGGATGAAGTCATGACAACCTGTAGCCTTTCTTGGAAAGGGAAAAGTCTTCTACCTCATATAAACTGGATGAGTTAATGCTTTGTAGTTTGTCAGTGAAGATGCTGATGGAGTCAGGGTTGGGACTCTTGCTTTGTTGAGTTACTGCCTTCAGTGTAAGTTACTAAAACTGAAAACAGATCTGTATGGTGTTGCTAGCACGTGTTTATGTAAAAAGATTTATCTGAAGGGAATTTGGCATGACCTGCAGTAGCAGGCTGATCTGTGCCTGGCAGGTGTGATGGATTCTCCTAAGCTCTCCCAGTGTCCATCATCTGTGCAGCTGCAAGCCGCAGATGCCCAGTGTTGCTAAAGGGCATGTTTGATCTGGGATGTGAAGAAAATTGGATGGTGATGGGGGTGGAAACTAAACTGGTACAGTGGGGTGTGCTGATGTTCGTTCTTGATCCATAGAGGTGAGGTTGCTGTAGAAGCACGCTGGATCAGCTCTCCTCTGACTCTTGCACTGCTTTAAGAGGAAGCTATGGGGAAAAAATCTGAAGGTGGCAGGCTATGGATAGGACTGTGTGAGGGGAGGAGTATGGGGCTGCTCCCCATCCACGTGCTCATGCGGGTAGGGGCACCAGGAAGAGAGGAAACTTCTGTGCGACAGGTCTCACTTTCTCCTTCATCCTCAGCCTGCTGTCACTAGTAATCCAATAGTCAACATCTTAGTGTTATTTAAACTGTAATGAGAGGTTTTCATTGGTGTCTGCTCAGCCATACTGGGATTCCCTCTCTTCTGTTGAAGGTCTCTTGCTTTCTAGATTGCCTCTGTCTGATGTTCATGACCTCTTGCTTTCCTGCCATTTAATGCCAAGGAATACCACAGTTGATCATGCCTCCCTGTCTTCCTGGCATTGTCAGAGGCCAAAAAATGCATTTTCCATGTTCATACTCTGTTTTGCAGGGTTGTTTCCCTGCCATGCACATGCAACACCTCAGTTGGTGTCCGTGTTCCTGGGGGTCCTTGTGCTGAGCTCTTTTCATACTTCCAGCCCTCCTGCTGGCTGTTTCTTTCTCCCATCCAGCCCTTTGCTCCCTCTTACTTGTCTTGTGCTCCTGGTGTGGAAGCGACCGGTATAATACAGTGTGGTAGGGCAATGGCTGTTGAACTGTCTCAGCATCCATCTCTAACCTGCTATTGTTAAAAAAAAATCCCTACTGCCTGGAGTTGCTTCCTAAATTCATAAGAATGGCTCTTCCACTGGGTTTTTGAAGAGTCTAGACAGGATGCCATACCTGTCAACATTTCCCTTGCCAAAATGTGTGCATTATCTGCACTGACTGTAGTTGAAAAGCCTCCTTGCAGCAGTTCAGTAAACTAATTAAGACTGATTTGTGTGGAGGATGACAGAACTTTATCTGCTTTACCTTCCAGTCCATTGCTCCTTGGAAACAGTAAACCTTTCAGAATGGGACCCACTGAGTAGAGTCTTGTTCTCATTTAACTGAGCTCTGTGCTTAGCCTTTTGCTGCAAAGACTGCTGAAATGAAGCTGTGTAGCATCCTTTTTTTTTTTTTTTTGGTATCTTGGAAGATAATAAAGGCTAATATATCCTAAGGGCTTGTGGTTATATTTGACCTCTTTGGGGGAGAGGTAGGGCAAAAGTAATGTTAGCAGGGCATGCACAGTGTGTGGAAGGACTGGATTGTGAGTGGAGGAGACATTTCAGCATGAAGCATCTGAAAGTGCCATTTGAAGGCTGGACAAGTTTTCTGGGCTAACTTCAAAGGGAACTGTCTGTTTTCCATGCTTCAGCTGCTTCTATTTTAAATATAAGTTAGTGTGCAACTAACAGTTGAAAGTAGGGCTCATTCAAGTCTGCTTTAATGAGGAGATTTGTTAAATAGCTGTGTGGAAATGCTCAGCCATCTTCCCCTCCCCCTGATCATGGCTGCTGTTAGAGGGCAGAATGGCCTTTGCACTGTTGGCTTACTTCACTAAACAAATGCCCTTTAAACCAAGATAAATAAAGGAAGGAAGGGGAAAACTAGAAGTGAACAAAGGAGAAAGTCATCTGAACTTGTGCAAGGGAGGTATCTGGCATCTGTGCAGAAGAGTACTGTTGGGAAAGGATGGAGAAGATTGGGTCATTTGTGATCCATTGATGTAGACTTGCTCATTGATCAGGTAAGAAATATAGGAGCGCAAAGCAGGTCTGAGTGTTCCAACAAGGCTTTTTCAATTTAATTCAACCTTTTTCTTGCTGTAGGACCTTTGCTGTTCTCCAGTCACTTAAGTCACCCAGGCACTTAATTTAAGTGGTGTAGGCAGCACTTCTAGCAGAGTTGCAAAGTAGTTTAGACCAGCTGTAAATGTCACCTGGGAGCAGCAGGCAGGTGGCCTTCAGGGAAGGGAAGCTGCTGGTGTACATGGTGTGAGGTTTGCTTAGCGCAATTTTAAAGACAATCTGCTAAGCTTAGATATGTCAGTCTGGAGAGCTTTTGAAGGATGACGAGTGTGTCTCCTAGTTGCCAGATAGACCAGAAGAGAGAGGGCAGGTTTGAACTGGAGGTTTCTGCCATGACCTCCCACAGATTTCCTTCATAAGGGGGTGATTGTACTTCATCTAGGCAGTTGCACTGGAAAATTGATACTTTTGGGAGACTTATGACGGATGCCGTGTTTCCCTGTGCACCAGGCAATGTTCTTTAAACTGTCCTGACCCCTCCAACAAAGCCCTAAATATGCTAAAGCCTGAAGTAGTTCTCCCTGCAGGTAACCCTCTGGGGAGTGTAGTTACTGAAGGGTCTGTGCGAGGTCTGTGATGAGACAGACCTCTGGGGGGATAAATCAGCCTAATCAAGCTCTATTTCCTTCTAGTGCTGTTGGTCGCATTTCCTTGTGTGACACCGTGCTGCTGCTTCTGCCTGGTGGTCTGGGAAGCAACAGGGAGGTCTGATGGCTCTTAGACTCCACTGAGGCGTCAGGGATGGGTTTGAACCAGCATCGGCATCTGAGTGCTGCTAACCTGCCGAGAGGAGCTGGGTGGAGGGGGCTGCAGCAGCATCTCCACCTGTGGAGGGCGACGGGGGGGCGGCGGCGGCGGCTCCCGTGGGGCGGCGCTAGGGGTCGGTGTTGCGCCGCGGAGCGCGGGCGGGGGGCGGGGCCGCCGCGGGTCCTCTCCCCGTTTGGGAGCGGGAAGACCTCGGGCCGGGGGCATGTGCCCCCCAGATGCGGGCTGGGGGAAATGCAACGGGCCGCGCTTCCTGGGGGCTTAAGCCGTGAACTTTGAAGATGGCTTTAACAAGCTTTATTCTTTCTTACTTAATTGAGCTCTGGTACAAATTTGGGATTCTCCTTTCCTCCCTTTTGACCCCTCCCTTGCTGGGGGGGGGTGTGGGGTGTGTGTGTGACCTGAGCCCCTGGGTTCCTGGCAGCTGTCACCATGGCTCTTGTTCCAACTGGGCAGATGAAACCCAAAGGGTTGGGGCAAAACACCTGCCTGCCTTCTGCCAGGAGCTGTGCTCCTGTAGCCTGCTAGTGAGCTGTGCCCAGGAGGCACAGCACCCCTGGGTGCTCGGCGGGTGCAGGTACCTGCTAGGGAGCAGTGCCTGGGAGACTCTGCACCCCTGGGGTGCCCGGAGGGTGCAGGTACATGTAGCTCTGAAACACGCTCTGGCTTTCCTGCCCTCCGGTGTTCTTGCAGGGTCCTGGTCTGGCCTCAAGGAACCTCCCCGGAGCCTGCAGGCCCCTCAGGGGGCTGACCTCTTTGTTTGTCTTCTGTGGGCAAAGCCAGCTGCTCAGCTGGAGGTGTGGATCTCATTAGCTTTGTTCCTGTTCCCACCTTGGGCTCTGCTTGACACTGTTGATCCCAACAGTGATGACTGTTCTGTGTGCTGTTCAGAGAGGTGATTCTCCAGTTATTCATCCTGTCCTATAAACTTCTCATAGGTCTTGGTGGCTGGGGAGGTAGTGACACTTGGAGACTTCTTTGATACCCAGAATTAATGGACTACATAAATAATTTTTTGGATTTTGGTGTGGGTTATCCATGTTGTTTCCCACTTACCTTCTCAGTAGCCAATACTATTTTAGGGATGGGCATGTGGGCTGTGGCTGAGGAGCCCTGCCATTGCCGCTGGCTGGTAATCTTGGGTAAGTCCTTTGGCCCCTCTGCTTTTGCTATTTGTGCAATAGGAAGGCTATTCACCTTTCTGAAACATTAGGAGGACTGTGGATAGAGTGTGGATTAAAAAAATGTATGTAGGAATTTGGAGTGATTATATATTTTACAGTGAGGGAGAGGAATTAAGAAAAATGACATGAAAAGGAGCAATATTTCTGCCTGTTGATGTGCACTCACATAGGATAATCTGGGCTGTCACCTGCTTCATCAGTAAAAGCGCGTGAACAGAACAATTTATAAATGTTTATTTCTCAGAGTTTTTCTATCAAAATGACTGTAAAATTATTCTGCTTACGAGCTTCCTTTCAATTTTATTCTGTGAGGCCAATGTGAGAGGTCACTTGCCTGGAGAGGCAGTATCTTTGCATAAATCTCTGATGTATGTAGAACTTGGTATTCATTGTTTTCATATTTTCTCCTTGTGAGTCTGAATTAGCTCCAAATGCCACATAGATCTCTTTATAGAGATGTTGCTCGTGTTTGTGGTTTCAGCCTGATTTAGCAGAATTCCTCTATTTTCCCCCAATAGTTCGTACTTCAACAAAATAATTTCCTTGCAGTATGCCTCTAGTCCTTAAAGAACAAACATAATTACCCTATCCTCTACAGTGAAAATTCAGCCAGACTGAATATTTTAGTTTCAGATTTATTCTGATTGTCATAAATTGAGTACCTTTTAGTACAGACAGGCTTTTGAAGTAATTGGGTGTTACCTGGTATAGCAGCTAGACAGCTTATATATAATGAGGTATTATTGAGACATGAGAGGAGAGATATCCAGAAGTCATGTGCAGTGATGCCACTTCTGAAAAATTGGCTGTTGTCAAAAGGTCGGTGAAGAGTCAGGATCCTTAAGGCAGGGGGTGCTGTTAGAGCTTTGGCTTTTTGGTGTAATGTGGAGCCAGGTAACCCCATATCAGTTCCTGTGTTATCAGGATCTTAGTCCATTATATGTTGTTGGTCTTTCTAGACAGTCCTTTGTCTCTGGTCTCTGCCTCCTGGACTGTTTTCAAACAAGGATAGATTTGAAATTATGTTTTTTGATTGTGCTAGTAATACCCATGAAACTGAAGTTTCATATAGCTAGTATCCGGATTTAGGGGGTATCTTGGCTGCTTCATCAGAGCTGAAGTTGATTGCATCAGAAGGATTGGGAATAGTGAGCTGTGTATTTGATTTTTTTGGTACTTTTTTCAGCTGATCATAGTGCTTTAGATTTAAGTGTGTTTAGGTATCATATCCTTTCAAGCCACCTTGCAAGAATTGAGTAGGCTGTAGAAACATCACTGAGGTGAACATCTTGCCCTTATTGCAGAAGAGTTTTTTGAACTTTTTGTGAGAAAATAGATTAGAATGGGGTCTTTCCCAATTCCCTGGTCTAGAGCTGGTCCCTTCCAGTTTTCCAAAGAATATTTTGTCCTGCTCTTAAGTGCTTTGTGGGGGAAGAAACTGGTTTGAAGTTTCAAACTACTGTTGGAGGATCCAAATGAGAGTTCGCATCTCTTCCCTGCTTCCTTCCTGCAAAGGGTTTAACTTAGATCTCTGGAAGATGCTCCCAGCACCTGGATGTATTGGTTTGCAGCAACATTAAGTCCAACTAAGGGTGAATCCTTTTACTCTCCCCACAGGAATTAGAGGTATTTCAGAAGAGACAACCACTGGAGTTCACAACCTGTACAAGATGAAGGCCAATGGGACCCTGAAAGTGCCAGCTATCAATGTTAATGATTCTGTCACCAAGGTAATGCAGCTAGAGCCCTTCTGCTATGTTCTGCTGTCTGACCAGTTTGGTATTGGGATGTTGTCATTCCCATGCAAATATTCCTTCTCTTGCTGAGCTATTCTTGACCTGGTACTGAACAGATTTTCACCATATCCTTGAAGTGAGCCTACAATGTCTCTCATGGGATATGCCATTGTAAACACCCTGTTTTCAGAACATCAAGGGCTTTTTTTTATACGTAAGGACATGCATTCTTCATTTTAATAATATGAAAACACCTTTGGAAATGATGGCTCCTGGGGCACAGTCGGTTCCTGTGGCAAGGGACATGTCCTCACTCTGAGTAGCTTAAAGCTCACACGTAGGTGGTAGGTACCAGCTGGAAAAGAGAGTGTGACCTACGTGAGCTTGTGGCTGGTAAAGGTTGGTTGATCTGACAAGGTATCTCTGTGAGCGCAGTTGCAAAGGATGGGGCAGGAGGTATTCCTTGCTTAGCTATATTACTGCTTTTCAAGACAAATCCTGGTGAATCAAGGGATGAGGGGGGATGGTGTTTAAAGGGTGCTGGTTCTTTTTGGATGCTGATGAATTATAGTGGGAATTTCAGGCGTACTTAAGGTTTATGTATCTAGATTTTTTTTTTAAATTTAGTTGCTAAATCTATTTCAAGTTACCATACTAACATTATCTTATTGGGCATGGTAGTTTTCACTGACTGTTTTGCCTGCTTTCTCTGCAGTTTGCTATCTGAAGAGTATCTCCTTTCTGCTCATGGATGTATCTGGCATTTTTATTTCATAGCTAGTGGGCTGGAATCCAGTTGATCTTGGAAGAAGCTTGTTTCTTTGCATCCTTTTCACCTAGATTTGTGCCTTCTGCATAATAACTATTAATAGTGTTTATTAGATTTGGAAATTCAGATGTTTCTAAAAAAGCTTCTTGAGTGGATTTGTGTTGAGCTTACTTTATCCTAGTGCCAAACAAGTGCTTATTTTCAAGTACTGTTTGGTATTTATGTAGTAAAAGATTTGTAGTAACCACAGTTACAGATCTCCAGGAAGACATGCAACTGAGCTGACAAAATCTGTTCTCTCAGTCTGGTATTTTCAGTTGGTGCCAGGTTCCTATACTAGTATTTGAAGAGAGAAAGCAGGCAGCATCCAGTTCTGTTCTTCCCTCCTGCCACTCAAATGTATTTTTGGGTGGGACAGATGTCTGCATCTGGCACTCTGCTACCTTGCCCGCATGGGAATGCACAGGCACCTGGAAGGCTTTGATTGCAATTGGGGGATTTGGTGATGAGGAATCAAATCTGACCCTGCTCTTTTGCTCCATAAGAAGGTTTATACTGCAAGGAAAATCTGCTGGAGGACTAGAAAAGAGGATTACCAACTGGCACTAGCTTTGGAATTTGAAGGATTGGTAACACAAATTTTCTGAAACTTTAATGGCAAATGTGCCTGTGATAGGACTTACAGGCACCGAGTCAGGAACTTCTGGATCTGAACTATAACTTCTTACACATTAGTCCTCGGCCAATTTCTGAGGCTGGGAGCGGTATGCCACTGTACCTCATAACTTGCTCAGATACAGCATTGTAGTCATAGCTGCAACATTTTTATACATGGACTTTGCATTTTTTATTATAAAAATTTTACAGTTGTAAGCTGTAGACTGAAAAACCAAACTGTAACATAACCTTGCACGTGCTAGATGGCACCAGCCATAGTTGCAAGGTAGGTCCCATTTGAAAGATCAGTGCACCTACTCACATCTAGGTATGCAGTCCTAAGATTGCTTGTAGCAGACAGAGCGCTGCCTGTATTAAGTGAAAGCAAGAATGATTGGTGACTTAAGGCTGTAGAAAGCACAGGGCAGGCTTTGAGACCAGAATTTTGCTGTGAATGGCGAGTTCTTTACACCCCTGCCTTGGGAAGCATAGCACAACTTTGGTAACCAGATTTTTTTTTTTAAATTCTTGGCTTCTGTAACTCTTCAGATAATCAAATCTGTTTATACGGCCCATCCTCCTGGTTAAAACGAAGGGCCCAGGGAGAAAAAGGAGGAGCATTACAAAAATCAGTACAGCAATATGTGTTTCTGAGTTTAGGAAGATGTTCCTACTGGAGTACTAATTAACATCTGACTTAGCAGGGGAATTTTGATTTGGAGGTCTGGCTGTTAAGCTCATGTGTTAATGTTACAGTAGGAGGATGTTTTGCGATGGGGCATTAGGAGATGAAATCCAGGGATTCTTGGTTGTAATGACCAGTATTTTTAATGGCTACTTGCTGGATTTTTCTAGATCTGAGCAGTGGTGAGGTCTGGCAGTGTTAGTGTAACTGTTCCTGGGCAAGGAGACAATTTTGATCTTCCTGGGCTGCAGGAATCAATTTCTCATGGTTGTTATGTGCAACTTGGTGCTTCTGCAGGGTGCATGTGTCTTGCAAAGATAAGAATATGTGCTAACCAATTGGTCATATTCTGCTGGTGTTTTTTGCCTACCTGTGGCACTTGGTTCAGTTCATTGATAAACAGCAGCAGAGAACTGGTGAACATCTGGTTAAGGAACTCAGACCTACCTCTGTATGAAAGAATTGTTTGTGCTTTTACTTGATAAATTCAGGTTACCTCTAAAAAGCTTTTAACGTGTCCAAGCCCTAGTCAGTAGTCACAAACATATTTCTGAAATGCTTCTCACGAGGGGTGTGCTGAAGCCTGTATCTGGTCTAACTATATAGATTGAAACTGGATAAATAAAAACATCCAACCAGGTTATCTTCTTCCTATCCCTCATTGTGGTTAAAGTATTTAGCTGACTGTCAGCCTCCTGGGTGTAGTATTTGCATGGAAGTCCATTTTGTTTCTCTAAGGAATTATAACTTGAGTGACTTTCATCTTTTCTGAAACTGCTCCTTTCTCTTTCTCAGAGCAAGTTCGATAACCTTTATGGTTGCAGAGAGTCCCTCATCGATGGCATCAAACGTGCTACAGATGTCATGATTGCTGGAAAAGTAGCAGTTGTGGCAGGTTATGGTGATGTGGGCAAAGGCTGTGCCCAGGCCCTGCGGAGCTTTGGAGCCAGAGTAATCATCACGGAAATTGATCCCATCAATGCACTGCAGGCAGCCATGGAAGGTGAGAACTAAGGAGATGCAGAAATTAATGTATCTGATGAGGGTCTCTGCGTGTCAGTGTAGAACAATAAGTGATAGTTGGCCAAGAAAGGTTCAGTGAGTTTCAGCCCTGACCCTGTTGAGGTAGAGGTGACTCCAGTTTAACTGTAGGAATTCTTTCCTTACAGTTAGGGAAGGAGTTTATTAGCATAGGCCTTGAATATGTGTTTGGAGTCAAGGATATAGAGACCATAGTGGGGTAAGGCCCCCATTCATAATGCTGTAAGCCTGAGTTTGAATGGGTTCATTTTCCTCAAGTTGTGCAACTCTAACCTCCAGTGTGGGTTAAGACTTCACTGGAATCTCTCCACAGTAAAACACCAGACCTTACCTTCAGTAGGTGTTTTTGGAGAGCAATGCCATGCTCTCTGCCTTTCCAGCTGTGCTCATGGCATGCTCTGGAAGCTGTGCTCACTCTCTTCTGTGGGTGCCTTGTGTAAATATGCTTCCTAGTACCAGTTTATCCCATTTCTAGTCATACCTGACTAGAACCTGCAGGTGTTGTGGGTGTACTTTCCTTTGCAAACTTGACCCCCTGAATCCAGTCTGAGTGCAGTGCCAGATATTGCACCTGTGGACATAAGACATTGAATGTGTAGATCTACAGATTGGAAACAGGTGAGAGATAGCTTTTTTGTGCTATGTTGGTATTTAGTAAGAAAGTATGCCCACTACCTCACATCTTCCATAGGTCAGGTGTTGGCACAGACTTCTCTTACTCATTCTTTCTCAGTACTTTTCTACTTGTAATATTGTATCCCACTTTTTAATAAATGCTGGTGGTTGGGTAGAGGAGTAACTTTTTCTCTTTTCAGGTTATGAAGTTACAACCATGGAGGAGGCCTGCAAAGAAGGCAATATCTTTGTTACCACCACTGGCTGCACTGACATTGTTCAGGGCAGGTATGGTCTAGCCACTTGCTTTAGTGAAAGTATAGCTGTACAGTTAGGTTTTTTTTTAAATGCTGCTGACAAGTTATGATTGTATGGTGAGGGTTAGCATACAGTCTCATTTCTGGACATCAGAATTTAGCATCAATTTAGTGAGAAATTTGGGCTTTGGACTTTCAGGTCTGTTGGATGTTGCCATGTTGCAATTGTTCCTGTCGTACAGCATGTAATGATGGAGAAACAAAAGGTGTAGAGGGGATGATAGATAGACTTTTGGAGAATGAGATATTCAGGGCTAAATTCTGTGTTAGGACAGATAAATGTGAACAGAAGAGTAGGTAGGTAAAGGTTGAGAAGTAAAGGTTGAAAGTGATTCCATCTGTTAGTACGCATAGCAGACTTGAAACTAGCCTGTTCTCAATAAACTACTCTGCAGTTTTTTTGTTACTGCTTCTTAGATCTCAATTTATAGCCCCTCCACTCCACACAAACTCATTCCTATCTTTGACATTATGATTGTACATGTTGTAGTGGAAGATCAGATTAAGTGGGAGGAGATAAGGCCATTAGTCTCTAGAGATGTAAAACTGCTGAAAACTTTAAAGTCATGAAAAAAACGTTTTCTTCTGTGTAGGAGAGAGAACTGCAGGTATTTCAGTTTTGACCAATGAAACAAAATAGTTTTACTTTCCATACTGGGAAAATACTTTCTCTCCAATAACTCATACATCCTTGGGAAGTGTCCTTCCCTAGAAGCTTGAGAATTTTTCCAGCAGACTTCACATGCCTGAAAGGTTACCAGACCTGCATGTCTTGTGAGAGTCAAATGTAGGCAGTAAGTCAGGCACTTTTCATTTCTCCTTGAGCAGAGCTATGGACCAGAGCATCTTCTGGTGCTGAAGAAAAATTTTTTGTGTGTTAACTTTTGATATAACTTTTTTTTTGCAGGCACTTTGAGCAGATGAAGGATGATGCCATAGTGTGTAATATTGGCCACTTTGATGTGGAAGTTGATGCAAAGTGGCTGAATGAAAATGCAGTAGAGGCGGTGAATGTTAAACCTCAGGTGAGACAGCCCTTGCACAAGCTCTCCTGTTAGAAAGAAGCAATAGCTAACCAGTGTCTGTTTCCAGAAAGGGGGATACTCCTCTTCAGGTACTTTGTGTTTCTAGCTTTCTTGGAAGCCAGTGTTGCTCTGGGCTGATCAGAATGGAGATTCTGCTCTGCTCTTCCCTGATTAACCTGGAACAATCTGCACATTGTATTCTTGTGTTGGTATTAAAGCAATTGGTTCCAGCCAGTGCCCAAGTGTACAGCATGGTCTCTGGCAAGAGGTACATGGTATGGATGCATCTTTCTCTGTGTTCTTACTTCCTTGACAAACAGGAGCCTACCCCTTAGTGGTCGTCGTGTAGACAATTAATTGCATAAAGTTAATTCCTTACAGGAAGTCAGTTTTGAGGTTTGGGTTATGGTGAGGAGGTATGGAAATGTGCTTTCTTTGATAGCCCCCAGCTGAAACAGACCATTAGACACTGTATAAAACTTCTTAAGAGCAGAGCCCATAGATTGCCTGGTGGCTGATTTGAATTTCCTCTCAGGAAGCTGCTTGCTCATGTACTGCTCTGCACCAGAGTAATCTTGGTCCTGGTGCAGTGTGCCAGGATTAGAGTGAATCTCAAGGGAATGTCTTTTGGGATTCTGTCAAGGTTTGAAAAAATTCACCCCTCTTTGTTTTCAAAGCATTTTTTTTATACTTGGAGATAGGCTTTCCTGAGGCTTCAATCTGGAGGTCTGCCAAACTCAGACTTCTCTTCCAGGCTTAGTGACTTCATTTTAGAAACCTGTGTAGACCAGAAGTCTATGCATGGGCAGACAAGGCAAGATGTTTTATCCTTGCTCAGCTTGCATTCCCACCATGTATTTACTTCAAGCTATGGCTGTAGCTACACAGGAAAATAGGGATCTAAAAATTTCAGCTTTTCAGCTGTGTCCCCTAAAGCAGAGAGAGAAAGCTAAACTAAATCAAAACTGTTTTGTAACACCAGCATTGAGGGAGAAATCACATAGAGCAAACCAGGCTTTGTCTGACTTGGCATGTGACTTGTAGTTACTTTTTGAAGAGGGTGTGTGCTTGCTGATAGCAGGATTCTGGGACAGATTTTTCTACTTTTTTAAAAATGCCACACCCAAGCATAGGTCTTAGTAGGTCTCAATCTGCCCTTCTACTTTTCATAACTCTCCTGTGACTGATTGGCCACCCACATCAAGCTCTTACTAAGCAGTTGTGAGAGTCTTTTCAGTATCCTGTTTGTTGTTTGGATGCTCTACATGGGCTCAAGTAGGTATGAAATTATACCCTCAAGCTCTCACTACATTCAAGTCTGTTCTTGCCCATGACCTTAGTGTGGAGCTTACTTTGCTCAACAGCTCTTGTCCTAGAGGAGCCTGCAGCTAGCTGCTTGTTTTCTGGTAGTTCGGGTTTTAAAACTAAAACTGGGATGGCTCAAAAAGTAACCATTGTTGAAGGTGGAATTGGAGGTTAATATGGTATCATACAAACTACCTGCACATGGGTCTTTTAAAGTCCATGTGAAAAATTGTCACTGTTGGCAGAAGTAGTAGTTGCTTTTTCTTTATATACTCTGTATTGAAGGAGCCAGTCTGTCACAGATGTATTAGGTGCAATGAGATGCAGTCTAGTCCAAGGTATGAAAAATGTAACAAGTTTCTAGTTTAAAACCAGAATATTACTTTTTCAAAAGCATGGAATTGGGCTCAAAGTCATCCATATGGTTTAATGCTGAAGACCTACCTCCTACCCTGAGCCTCCCTGGTCTGTTATATAAATCACTGCTGTCACAAGCAAGATGTTCAGAGTGATGCAAAGGAGACACCTGTTCACAGAGCAAAAGCTGTGAAAATAGCTGCCCAGCATACTGTGGGTGCCACAAGTGTGTTTGCTTAAAAGTCATTAGCTAAAATTTGTAAAAGGTGTCTGGCAGCCCTGAGTGGATCACCTGTGTGTTGGCTTGATACACAGATAGTGGAAGCTGAGATGATATACTGGGGGAAATAGCACTTTACCCTTGGGCTGTTCTTGTACTTTTCCTTACCCATCTACTGGTTACCACTGGAGATGGGATGTACCTAGAGGTAAATCTGACCTTATACAGCCATTCCACATGGTTGAAGCTTTACTGAAGTGAGGATGGCCTATAGATGTGTACCTTGTCAAGCCCAATAAAAGCTGGTCCCTGTCTCAGGTTAGTACTTGGGTTTTGTTGACTTTTAGCAGTGAATCTGAAGCACTGTTAACTGGTTTGAATCCCCAGTTGGACTCTGTAATTGGTGTATTTAATGCTATATGTAACTACACTGTGCTAGTGGTATACCCCTATGCTCCGTTTTGTCTGTTTAGATTTCTTGTCCCTAAAGACTTTAGACCTGTCTGACAAGGTAAGGAAGTACCTGCTAAGCAGGTGTTAGGTGAACAAGTTCTGCTGTGTAAAAGCTTCATTATTCTTCATTTTCATTCTCTGTGCCTGATTGCTGTGGTGGCTGGGCAGTTGAGAAGGAGTGGATGAATACATATCCTAAAAGCTTACTCATTTCAGAAGGGGGACAGCAGGACTGGGAGGCAAAATGTAACTTTAGAGCCACAAATTCCATGCTTTAAACAGATTAAAAGGTATTGAGTAGAAACTTGCTGCACTTGCTTAACTCTTCTAGGATATGCATTAACTTCAGGTTTAGAAACAAGCTCCCTGGAGGTATCCTGCAGCTTCTGTCCCTCACCACCTGCATGGGAATTTTGTCTGCATATGTTGAGACCTTTCTCAGGGCAGCAGTGATGAGTCATTACAATAATTGATAGAACTGCTCTTACACTGAAATCTGGGAAGGAAATTATTGGTTTGCCACTTAGGCCATTGCTGGTTCCTCAGTTTTGTTGCTCAGACTCATCAAAGGGACACTTCTGTGGTCATTTTGTCCCCAGTCTTTTGGGGGCCTCAAGGGGAGGTCAGTCCTGTGTTAAAGGTGTGAGATCTTGCACTTATCCTTAGAATAACATATGTTTTTTCACATGAGTGTTCTGGGTGAGGTATCCTGTTTTATAATACCAAGTACTAACTCTCTAAATATTCAAATTTTTACTAAGACCTGGCAGCTCTTTTCTGTATCTGTCGCAGGGAGGGGAATATAGTACAAGAGCAAAAATCTCTTAACCTCCTATGAAGACATCTGTCTCTTGGTCAGAGGAGTAATACCACAGCTGAGGGTTGCTGGACTTCAGCTAGAGGTACAGAGTAGTTGTGAAAGTGTCCAACTTGTTAGTTTTCAGTACCATATGGTCTCTAATTACAAATGGTGAGCTGGAATAAGAAATATTTAATACTTAGGAAAGGAAAACATCTTATTGTGCCATTCTGGCTTATCTGTTGCTTTCAAAGTACAGTTAAGGAGGAGGTAGGCTTATTACGGAAAAGCTGTCAGGCTGTTTTGAATATAGGTTTGCACTGCAGTCCTGCTCAGCTGTATTCTGGTATTAGAGACTGATGTGTAGCACAAGCTCAACTCGAGAGGGGAAGGAAAGGTCAGGGTGAGATCAATGAACTTTGGCTCTGAAAATAAATTATTATTGTATCATGGTGTGGAGGGAGGTGTGAAGCAGCCAGAAAGTCTGCAGCAAGCTAAATAGCAATGGGGAAAGGGAGCAGGCATTTGTATAAGTGTGGAGATGAATTTAGTGCTTGGATAATTGGAATTCTACTTTTGTAGCAACTTCTTGAGCTTATGAATCAGCCTGTTTATCTGCCCATAGATGAGATGTGTTTCCACAGTACTGACTTAAGCCTCTGCTGGTACCACTACTATTTGGTATTTATTTCTGTGCAAAGACATTAATTTGCATTTTCTGCATTACCCTGTGCATTGAGTGAGTCATGTCAGCAGATTGCCAAAGGTGTGTGATTCCATGCACAAGTCAGCAGCTGTCCAGGTGCAAGTTGTGTGGATATTAAATGGATATAATATTTTGACACCTGAACCACCCAATTCAGACTTCAAAACTGAAATACTACTTAACTGCTACCTTGTAGTAGTTTAATCTGTAAACATAATGTTTAAGATAAGCAATATTGTAGCTGTTCTCAGGGTTTTTAGTGTTCTGCTTTCTGGCTGCTTTGTTTCATTACTTCCTCCCATAATCTTATGCTAGCCCATGTGGTACTTTTTGGGTGGACTGAACACTGTCACTTGTGGTTCACAATGGAGAATCAGCATCCATAAGAATTATTGCAACTGCTCAGTGGAGAGCATTCTTACTAACCCCACCTTGCTGTGCTGCTCTTGGACAGGAGAAATTAAGAATGTATGGTTTCTGTTAGAGGTGGTTACTGTCTGTATATGTTGTGCTGAAAACACAATCTGTTCTATGAACCCAAGAAGCAGAAAATAGTGCTGCAATTGAAGCATAGCTGGGGAAGACAGGTGGAGGCACAGACCTGCTCTGAAGGCAAAATACCTGTTCTAATAAAATGGTTTCTATTGGTTTACTTCATCTCTGCTAAAGACCTGCCAAAGATGTTTTTTCAGAAGTGTTTTCAGAACAGTGTTGATAACACAGGGATGTTTTGGTTACTGCTGAGCAGTGCTTACACAAGAGTCAGGGCCTCTTCTGCCTCTCGCCCCACCCCACCAGCAAGGAGGCTGGGGGGGCACAAGAAGTTGGGAAGGGACACAGCTGGGACAGCTGACCCCAACTGATGAAAGTGATATTCCAGACCATACAACGTCATGCTCAGCATATCAAGCTGGGGGAGGAAGAAGGAAGGGGGGCATGTCAGGAGTGATGGTGTTTGTCTTCCCAAGCCACTGTTAGGTGGGATGGAGCCCTGCTTTCCTGGAGATGGCTGAACACCTGCCTGCCTATGGGAAGTGGTGAATGAATTCCTTGTTCTGCTTTGCTTATGTGCATGGCTTTTGCTTTCCCTATTAAACTGTCTTTATCTCAACCCACAAGTTTTCTCACTTTTACTCTTCCAAATCTCTCCCCCATCCGACCACGGTGGAGCGAGTGAATGGCTGTGTGGGTCTTAGTTGCCAGCTGAGGTTAAACCATGACAGTTGTTGTTACAATTAAAACTTTTAACTTTCAGTCCAACGCTTTAAAAATAAAACTGAAAGTGATGTGTTTTGCTTCATATTAAGTAACTTTTGAGACTTAAATTATAAATACAGCTGTGGGGAGGGACCCTTTTAGGTCTTTCACAGTTGCTGTCCTATGACAGCATAAGATAAATGGACTTGCCTAAAACATTACCCTTTGTCAAAGTTGGTTGTTGGTTATCTTTTAAGACTTTGCAGAGATTTGCTCTACTCCCATGTGCTTGGTGTGACATGAGCAATAAATACAAGCGAATACTGAATATTCTTATAACTTATAGGCCATATTGGTGTTTCATTTTGGGCTTTAATATTGTAACCCTCTACAGGGGTGAAGGCAGGGGAGAGAAGAGCTAGTGACTGGTGGGAAGGAGAAGCAGAGTTAACTTCAATATTGCAGGAGCCCAGTTTGGCCCAGACAGTTGAGGCACATTAAGTGACATTATCTCCTGAGTTGTGTGGGACTCATATAGCTGAAGACTTGTCTCTTTAGCCCATCTGAGACTTGATTCTGTGTGCAGAGTACTGTTGTCCCCAGCATAGCTTGGAAATCAGTGTGAGTGGAGGACCATGTCTTTGGCCCTCTGAGAGCAAAGGAAGGTACACCAGAAGCTAGGATGGCTGTTTGTTGTACTGTAAAGCATTGGCCTAATGGGAATGGGAAGAGTCACAGGGGAGCAGTTTCAGCAGGCTGAGGACTCTGGCTCTTACCCCTGTGTTAGATGCAAAGGCTCTGGACTGTTGCGCGCAGAGGTGTTCCCTCTCTCTCCTGTCTCTCCACACCAGTTGTTACAATTGGGCATATATGAACTGCATTTTACTGCTAGCAGCATGCTGGCCACCACAGCTGTCTGAGACAACATCTATGTTGAAAACCAGAAGAACTGCATAACTGGTTAAATATGAAGCAGATGCTAAGATTCATGTTGTGTGAAGTCCAGAATAGCTACAGGCTTCACAAACACTGGCTGGGAATTGAGGGAGGGGCGTCTCAATTGTAATCAAAGTCTGTGTTGCAAGCCCACTGCTGAATTGTTGATGTGGATAGAAAGCCCACAAAACTTCGCATTATTTAAAATGCTCTCTTTACCCTGACATGACACTGCTCTTTTTCCCCACCCAGGTGGATCGCTATACACTGAGGAATGGCCGTCATATTATACTGCTAGCAGAGGGCCGACTGGTCAACTTGGGCTGTGCCATGGGTCACCCTAGCTTTGTTATGAGCAACTCCTTCACCAACCAGGTGCTGGCACAGATTGAGCTGTGGACCAATAGTGACAAATACTCTGTCGGAGTCCATTTCCTGCCAAAGAAGGTGAGTTAGAATAGCAGAAAGATGCAAGCCTGTAAGGAAGCAACTTCAGATGAGATCACGTAGATTTGTTTTGTTTGTCCTTGAGGTCATTTTCCTACTGAATGTTGTTGCAATGAGCTTCTGTCCCTCAGTGAATGCTTGGCTTTGGTCACGCTGAGTCTGAAGTGGGCTATCTTTTGTGGCTAACCTGTTGTGCAGAACTGGGACTTGTCTGTCCTGTGATAAGAATGTCCAGTCATGTTTTGGCTTGACCTGGGGCTCTTCCCTAAGGTGTTGGGAAGGCCTGTGCTGCCTCAGGGTAGTCAGGAAGCTTCTCCCAACCAACCTGTTCTTTCTGCTGAATGTCAGCATTCACAGCAAGCTTTCACATGCCTATCCAGCAGCAAAGTCTAGTGGGGCAGAGTTGAAGCTGGAGTGAAACTAGGTATCGCTTTTACTGTGGCCGATAAAGTGTGAGTCCCATTTGTACCTGAGCAGAGCTTATCACAATCTGGTCCTAATACCTTCACAAAATATTAATGACAGATTCTCTCGTGTTTCACTTTAAACTTCTCTGCATTCTTTGTTCTTGGAAAAATCTGCATCATGTCACAACTCGCAAATTCCTTTTAGAAAACTAACCTGGTTTTAATTTTCCAAAACAAGCCTGAGAATTTGAGATGGTCATTGAAAAAGATGCTGGAGTTAGATCACACTGCCTTTGGAATGCAACCAGGTGTGAGACTAAATGTGAAAATACTTTTCATTTGGGAAGTAGAATGTGTATCTTTGGGCTTACTTATGAAGTTTTTACTGAAGGACTTTAAGCTTCCAAAACCATCTGTTCATGATCAAGCAAAGCATACCAGAAATACAATGTAGGAGTTAATCAGGAAGCTGACACATGATCAGCTTCAAAGGAAAAGTTTTGTTGACAATTCTCTCAAAAATTATAGTCCAATGTTGCTAGTAAAATGTGGTTTCATCCTCTTCCTGAATAATGATTTTTAGTAAGCATACTTGAACTGGAAATGAGAAGTAATGCCCAGATCAGTTACTTAGATGGAGTTGCATGTTAGTGGAGCATTCTTCAGGTTCATATACTGTGACAAAATGCTTTTTTTACCCTCTGCACTCCATAGAGTATTTCGAAGAATAAAGCAGTTGCCTTGTCAGAACCAACAAAAGATGGGCAGAAGAGCTTTCTTCGATAATTTTCTGGCTACTGTCTTTCCTTGTTCTGTGTAGTAGTTTTGAGGTTCAAATGTAAAATTTAACAGTTATGAAGCACCTTACGTTGCACTTTCTTTGACTGCAAGAATATTGCTTTGATGATAACCTGTTACGAACATGCACACGCTTCTGCAGTGTGCGTTCCTGGAAATCCAGGCAAACTGTTATGTCCATGTTCTTGGCACCAAATCTGTCCATCCTTGTGGTCAGCTATCTGATTTTAAGGTAAGAATGTCAGCTTACCTTCATCTAAATTTGTGTACCTTTTTATCTAAATCTTGAAGTCCCCAAGCTGAAGCAGCTGTGAAACAACTTATCTCTGCTGCAGTTTGAGAACCTAATCTGGGAAATGTCAGGGACTTGGCTCCTTTTCAAGTGGGTGTAATCAGTCTTAAACTTGCTAGAAATGTACCTATCAGATCTTTGCATGTCAGTCTAGTCAATCAGATACTCATTCAATTTTTAACCCTCCTTTTTTTTTTCCTGGCAGGATCTACTAAGCTTAAATACTTGTTTCCCTTCTGAACACAGTCCTTCCAGTTAGCTTTTTCTTTCTTTTGTGATTATCCTGACTTATATAGTGTTTGGTAGCTTTCATAGTTCACTTCCACAGTCTTCAACCACTTCATCCTATGTTTTTAATTTTGTCTTGTACATCTCTGGCTGTGTTGGTTCTCAAGAGATGTTGGCAGTTCCATATTACTTACTATGAGCAGGTTGAACTGCAGGGAATTATAGTCTGTACAGATGTAGCTTTTTACCTAGTTCATTATAATGGGGTTACTTCAGAGTAGTTGCTTGTTACCATGCTCCTTTGGGAAATCTAGGACTAGTTATTGAATCATTCTGGTTCAGTGCTGGTTCACACAAGCTGAAGATCTCGTCCTTGATTGTTTTGTTGATTTATTGCCCTTCAAATATATTGTTGCAACCTTTCACATCTATTTAACTAGTATGGGGGAAATATTGGCAGTCTTTCCCATGCTGCTGGGATTTAGACTTCCCTTAAATCTGTTTCCTTAGCAATGCTTACTTGTATTTTGCAGGAATTACAAATGGTGGTCAAACTTGTCCTGTTGTAACTCAGCAGCACCTGATCCCTTCTTAGTGCTGTTCTTTCTATCTTTGAATATCTTTTATGGCTGTACATTCCCCTCTGACATAGCAGCTAGTTTGCCATTTCATTATTTTTCTCACTCTTCTGTACCTATCTCCTGTAGCACTTAGCTGTCTTGTAATTTTACACATTTTTCAGTCTCTCAAGTTTGCATGTCTGCCTGACGCCTCTGGGATAAAGGAAATATATCAACATTTCTGACCCTATGTCCCACAGCCCACCTTGGCTTTATTCTTCATGAAGATAATGCCAATAGATACTAGTATTCTTGCTGAACTAGTGATTCTGGAATGAATTTCTTAACACATGTACCCCTGAGATGGGATATCTGGAAAGGAGATGCTTTTTTTCTTTTTTTTTCTGGTATTAGAACTTACCTAACAATGTAAGATGATAGTCTAGTATGTCCAGGTGTCTTTGTAGTGGAAACATGACTGGGGCTTTACCATTCTACCCAACTGGATATTCTTATCCCTGAATAGTTTGATCTCTGTTCTTTACTTGTTGGATGGGTGTGAATGTGTAAGTGAGATTGAAATGGGCTTGATTATATGAAGTTGTTGTGTCTCACTTAAGCTTAACTTGACTCCCTCAAAAGCATGGGGCTTTTCCATCTGAATGCAGTTCTGTGCTCAAAGCAGATGTCTGCGCTCAAGCAGGTGAGGTATGTTGGCAGGGAAAGAGCTGTCTGACTGTTCATCTGTGTCAGTCTAAGTCCTTCTTGGGGCTGCTATTGATTTTCACATATTCATTTCTCACTATTGACCATGACTTCCTGAACCAATAGCACTCTGTTCTGCTAATATTCTTGTCTCAATGTTTTGTTTTTCAGCTGGATGAAGCTGTGGCTGCTGCTCATCTGGATAAACTGTGTGTGAAGCTGACAAAGCTGAGCGACAAGCAGGCCAAATACCTAGGCTTATCAAGAGATGGGCCATTCAAGCCAGACCACTACAGATACTGAGCAGGTGGCACTACCCAAAGACCAAAGTGCAGGGATACAACCTTCCAAAGCTCTTGTGTGTGCTGGGCTTCTGAGAACAAGCCCTTCGCCATATTCTTCTCAGTGCTGCAGAACCCCTCCCCTTACCAAGGGAACTACAGGGCCTTATTTGTTAGTGAAAGAGGATCATTCTGACTCTTGGAATTAGAATTGGTTATGTAGCTAATGTCATGGTGAAAAGGATCATATGCACCTTTTATGGGCTCCTAATGTTCCCAGTAAGGGGAGCAGGACAGAAGATTGCCAAATGAAAATGCATAGTCTTGTCAAACATGTGGCTGACAGCCTTTTTGAACAGACTGACCAATAAGATGGAGAACGGTTTCTACAGGGAGATGCTTTTTGCCATGCCCTGCTCTAATCTAGATTATTAATTTAGATTAATTAGATTAATCTAATCCAATTGGGAGGCTGGCAGTGTCAGGCTTCTCTCCACAAAGGTGCCCTAGCTGAAGTGCATGTTGTGAAACTGGAGGAAGTAGGGAGGAGTGCAGGTTGCTTGGTCTCCTTCCTATAAAATTAACCTCCTACTCGCAGATTAGAGCTGGAGGTTTTTTCTGGGTTAATTTACTCCATCAGTTTTGGTCACAACAAAGACCCTTCTATGCCTCTTTCATACCAACTTGAGGAGGGGTGAGGCAAGAATGACTTTTTGTAGCAGCCTTCCTAGTGTGTTTGTAAACAGCTGAGAAACTACTGAGGGGATGGTTAGGTTTAGGGACCTTGTTCGATCCTTTGAAAACACCAGCAGCACACTTCTACCCCCAACTTGATTTTTCTGAGTTGTCATGTCTGCTGTATCTTGTTTGTCACTGACTCAAAGTGCTTTTATTAAAGATCTGACTGTGGCCTGACTTGTTTTGTATGGTGAGATGCTTTTGGTTTTGCCATGGATTTGTTTACTTTTGTGTGGTCCTTAAGCTACTGAAAATATTTAATGTATCTGCATGGGGTTTCCTCAAGGCAAATGTCAGTGCTGTGGCTAACCTGCATCATATACTTGAGCTGGGAAGAGCTGCTCCTCAGGTTATTTAAATATTTGAAGGGCTGAATCTTACAGGGCAATTTTGAATAACCTTTACAGTAAAATATGCAGATTTCACTTCAGTTTCAGAAGCTTTCCAGAATGGATGGAAGACTTTGAAACATGACCTTTGCTGTAGCAGCTGATTTCCTTTAAAAAAATGTATATTGTAGTCTCATGTCCTGACTCCCTGCTGATTTCTCAACAGATGCCCAATCTGTATTAAAGGAAAAGTGTGTTCAGGTGGCCAAGAAGGCCAATAGAATCCTGGCTTGTATCATAAATGGTGTGGTCAGCAGGACTAGGGCAGTGATTGTCCCCTGTACTTGGCACTGGTGGGGCTGCACCTCGAATACTGTGTTCGCCCCTCACTACAAGAAAGACACTGAGATGCTGGAGTGTGTCCGAAGAGTGATGAAGCTGGTGAAGGGCCTGGAGCACAAGTCTTATGAGGAGCAGCTGAGGGAACTAGGGTTGTTTAGTCTGGAGAAAAGGATGATGAGGGGAGACCTTATCGCTCTCTACAACTACCTGAAAGGAGGTTGTAGCGAGGTGGGGGTCGGTCTCTGCTCCCAAGTAACAAGTGATAGGACAAGAGGAAATGGCCTCAAGTTGCACCAGGGGAGGTTTAGATTGGATATTAGGGAAAATTAATTCACTGAAAGAGTTATCAAACATTGGAACAGGCTGCCCAGGCAGTGATTGAGTCACCATCCCTGGAGGTATTTAAAAGATGTGTAGATGTGGTGCTTAGGGACACGGTTTAGTGGTAGACTTGGCGGTGCTAGGTTTATGGCTGGCCTTCATGATTTTAAGTGTCTTTTCCAAAGTAAATGATTCTATGAAATCATTCAGCCTTATTGCTTACTTGCTTTTTATTGGCAAGAGCACATCTGTCACTGACAGTTCCACTAAATCATTTACAACTAATTTTTTAGCTGTTTTTTTTGTTTGTTTTTAATCTACATGCATTTAATTCGGTATTCAGTCTAACCTGAGTTTGAGCATCTTGATTCCCTGAATATGAGTTGTCAGTCCCCCTGTGATTACCTTACAATGGTTTTAGCAGGAGCTGTTGAATGAAGAATAGCACTGAAGAGAGCCCAGGTATCAAGGCTTGGGAGTATCTGCTCCCTAGCACTGAAACCCCATGCCTCAGCTCATGTGGCATCCCACATCTGGCATATGCCGAGTCATATGACAGTGACAGACTACAGCTTTTCTCACTTGCGTGACAGTGCATAGCAGATCTCACATAGATGGGGTGAGATGTGAGCTGTGGGATTTCTGGATCTGACACAAAGGATCCCAGAGAGGGGGAGATGGGTTGTGGCACCATATTGCAAATATAGAGACCTTTGCACAGGCAGGAATGAGAGTGTGAAGTGGGAGCAAATGCAAGTTTCATACTCAAATTTGTGAAACTCAACAGGTCTGCTGTATAGGCAAGCAGGGTGATGCACTTAACTGTATGCTTGCACATGTTCTCTGTGAAAGGTACTGCGAGAAGACTGTACTGGAGCAGTGAGGAGTGCTGCTCAACTGCGGTGTTTGTCGGGCTCATGTCCTCAACCAGGCTGAGCAAATGTAGTAAGTCTTGGAGCAGCCCTACCTTCCAGTTCATCAGCATCTTTCCCCAATCTTGTTTGCAGGCTCATTTTGAAAGGCAAAAATAAAAGTGAGATTTGCAAGTGTGCATAAATGAGGTCCAGTTTAGGAAAGTGTGTACAGTATGTCAGAGGAATGTGGAGAGGTGGTGTGTGCTCTTTTTTCAGAAAATAGGAATTGACTTGGATTTACAGCTTCCCCCTGGCCCCCAAATACCTGGCAACCACTGGCTGAAAACTGGGAGATGCCTAAATCCACTCTAGTTAATAGCTGTTCCTCAAATTTAGCCATTTCTAGCTATTAATTCAACAGGGATTTTAAATTAGATCAGGAACACACCCCCTCCCCCAGTAATAAAGTAGTACTAAACCAGATCTGGTTACCACACTGGGAAAAGTTCTTGTTTAATGCTATGTCCAATTTCAGTTTGTTTTTTAACATCTACCAGCCCTTTAGTGTGGCTAGGCTGTCCCAGGATGGTAATGAGCACTGTCATCTTGGGCAGTCTGCCCCTGCAAAAATGATTGAACCTGGTGGTAAAATGAAATTAACGATGAAGGATTATCTTCATACAGGTCTCTGATTTGGCCAAGAAGAGTAATCACATATTTCCTCAAATGTCTTTCAGATTAATTTTCTGTTAATGCTTTCCTTATTGTTGGCAGCAAAAATACTATTCTCTTTTAAATAAGGCAACTCTTGCCCCTGTTTTCCCTCCACTGTTGAGTCAGAAGTGATAACAGAGTACAGGTGGTACATTTTTCTCTATCTCAACAAGATACACTGGTCTCCATAATTTTTTAAAAAAGCAACTGATTTGCAATACAGTCTTGCTAGGTCCCGCTCTTTATTTTTTTTTCCATGGCTAGATGGTCTGTGGAGATTGATGGAGGTGTACAGATAGCCTTAGGAAATGTGGATCACTATAAGCAGAGAGCAAAGAATGGGTAAATGAATGTTCTACTTATGACTCTGTGATTCATGACTGAGCTTGTTTTCACAGCAGTGGTTCTTCTTGAAGATGATACGAAGTTTTGCAGAAGCCAATTGTGGTTTTTAGCCTTTAGGGCTTTTTGGTTAAGATAAATCAAGTGTAGTAAATGTACATTGTAAAGTCTCAGTAGTTTTTGCAGTAGCATTGTTTGCCACTGGACAACTTTGTACAACTATAAGAAGCATGAATTACAATTAAGTTTTATTTTTCCTTTTTTAAAATCACTAACCCTTCATGAGTGCTTGTGGTTTGCATGCCAACTTAGAAAAAGCAAAACCAAACAAAAGACAGAAGGAAAAAAGTCCTGTGGAAAAATACTTCTAGAAGTTAATAGGATGAAAACAAAAAGGGTTTAAGGTTCTGCAGCATCCTTTTGAATTGGATGGGGACTGACATCCCTTCTGCTTGTCTAATTCCCTGAAATTTTGTAGCAGAGAGATTAAACTTTTTAGGATATTTAGAAAGTCTATAGCAAAGTTTTTCCTTCTTGTTCAATCTGTAGAGTCCAGAGACACTCTTCAGCAAACCTGTTACTTTTCAGTAGCACTCTGGTTTTGGTTTCATCAACTGGGAAATAATTTCCATAAGGGAATATTAAATGGACCACATTGATAGACGTGCTCCTTTTCCCTGATGGCACAGCAGCATTTTAGAAGTAAACTGAACAGCATCTTAGTTGCAATATTGCAGATGTTGGAAGCACATTAAATGCTTAGTAATCAGGCTAACACAGTTTTTGTTTTGAGCCAGTGCTTATTGTAGGTATCTGCTTTGCATTATTAACTTGATTTTCATTCAGTACAAACATTTGGTGGTCCTGTTTTTCCTCACTTCTAAAACTTACTTCCTATGTGTATCTTATTAACAACTGGATGCAAACTCATTTTGACCCTTTTTGGCAGTGAAAGCCTTTGCCTGTGATATTGTCTGACCTGCCACCGAGATGCCATTTTATAGAAAAAGAACAACTCTGCCCAAACCCTTGTACTTAGAAGAAAGCAGTAGTGATGGAGGGATGTTAAACAAGTTGAAGAGAATAAAGGGAAGTAAACCATCTGATATGCTCATTTAGTGCTGTAAATACTTGCTTCCCAAAAGGAGAAATTATTATGAATTGAATCACAGCTTTATAGTAAGGAGGTCTTTTTAAATACTAAAATCTTTGAGCTGAAAGTGGTCTGGCTCTGCCAGATATTTCTGAGGCCTTTTCAGAGTGAGGCACCCCTGGCTGTTGAATTACTTTAAATGCATCTGCTCCCATTGCCATTCCAGAAGACTTAAAGAATTGCTGACTTTCACAAATAGGTGAAAGACCATTAACCTTTAATTTTTTTTTTTTTAAAATGCCACACTTGTTTGTTATGGAACACAAGGAAGAGTGAGACTGTATAGTCTCATGATTGATTTCTGGCTATTACTGTTGTAAGTTGTATAATACTGTTGTTCACCTGTTTGAGGCACCTGTGCAGAGTGAAGGGAAGCCTGTATGAGATCATGAATGACACTTAGCTGAGGAAACTGCCAAAAATAGCAAGGGTACCACAAGAACACTGTTATTAGCTAAATCCACCTGATGGTAGAGCGTGAGTGATGAAGGTATATATTAAAGTGAATAGAAGATTTCCACTGATTCAAAGGGGCCTGAACTAGATCACTAGGGAAGGTATATTTTTGTCTTTTCCTGCCTTTATATGTATTAAACGAATGCCACATGTGAACTGTGTTATGACACTATTAC